AATAGATAGCCTTATTCCTTTAATAAAATTATTACCTTTATCTATAAACTATATTAATATTCCCTCTCTAGGGTAATTCCTACAGGCAAGGTCTATTATCTCCAAGTTAATAAAGTTATAAACTGTTGTATTGTCTTAACTGAATTGTCTAGAAAAGGATATAGTTGCTAAATAGTTAAAGCTACTATACTTCTCTCTTGGAAACTACTATAAATCTGTAACGAATCTCTGTAGCCATGTCATTGTTATAGTAAGGAGTTAAAGAAGGCCTTCCTACTGTAAAATTATCAAAAAATATAATATATGCTATAATTTAATAATTTTTAAAATTAATTCTACTACCAACTGTAGCATAGAATGTTAAGGTTAAAACTAGTTAATTCAGAGTTATTATATGAATTTTGTAATATTTTAAAAGTTATTAAAAATTTATTATGATTATTATATAATATTAAATAGAAAAAATAATAATATATTAGTAAGTAAAAGCAAATTATTAATTTTTTCTAATGATTACTTATACCAAATTTCTGTTACAAACATTTGACTCTTATTTAATATTTTATTAAGTAAACTACTTTTGGATATTTAGGTAAGTGTTCCTTATATAATTTTATATTTAGACAATAAATTTTTATATTTTTAAGTTTTTTTTTAACAAAGATATATTTAACAAACTAAAAAATATATCTATTCAAATTATCTCAAATTTTATTAGATTAACTGCTCTAGTGACTTAAAACAAATAGAAAAAGCTTATTATTAGCTATATTTTTATATATAAATTATTAAAAATGATCTAAAATTAATTAATTTATTAAAAAATTCTCTTAAACTTTTTTTGCAAAACTTTGTATTTTATTTTTACAAGCTTTTTTTAATTTTTTAAAAAGCTGTCCTCATCTAAACTTACTTAAACAAAATTACCAATCAATATTATATTATTTAAACTAATCTGTATTATTTACAAATTTGTATTCTTTTAATTTTATATAACTTTTTTGTTCAACATCAATTTTGACTTACAGATCTGCAAGTGTTATATACTTTGTATAATACGTATTTAGCATATTCTATATTTGTTATATCTTCTTATTTATTATACCTTGCTATCTGTTATATTTTTATTAATTACATTTTTTATTTATTACATCTTTATATCTTTTAGACTGCTTTATATTTAAAATTTTTATAATTTACTTTATTTTTATTTCTTAAACACAAATGCCAACTCTTATTAATGAAAACCCAGATTCTTATGACATTGATTACTATTATAACAAATACAAAAACTATAGAAAAGTGACAAATCTTTTTTCATATCTAAGAACTTGACTTATAACTTAAAAACTTACTAATTAATATATGTTCTTAATGATTCTATATTAATCTTTATTTCTTAATAATTATATTATATTATATTTAAATTATATACTTGTATAATTAGCAAGTTATTTAATTTTACTTTTAGAATTTAAATAAATAATATAAATGTTTATATTTTTTATAATTATTTCAAAAACTATTAGTTCAAATTTAATAAAATTTTAATATGTTATAGAAGAAGTTATTTTTTATAAAGTAATATAAATTTTATTTAATTTTAATTATTAGTGAATAAGAAAATTAATAAAAATAAAAATTTTATATTTAAATTTTAAAATTAATTTTTTTAATAATTATCAATTTAAAATAAATAAATTTTTTTTTGTTTAATAGACATAAGGTAAAATAGAATATTGTGATGAAGTTAAAGTTGTTATTAGTAAAATTTTATACTTTATTTATATCAACTAAATTTTTTTTTTAGAATATATATGATACTTATTTTAGAATATATTTAGTATAAATTATCAAAATACAATACTAGTTTGAAGCATAATAATCAATTCATACATGAAATATAAAAAATTGAATTTTGAAAGAATAGAAGATATTGTAATGAATTAGGGCCAAGTACCAGTTAGGGTTACTTTTTTGATTCAGTTATAGTTAACAAGTTATATAAATATCAAAAATACAATTTATGCAGCATATAAATCATTATATAAATGTATTAGCATTAAAAAAAACTATTACCCAATTTTTTTTTATATTGTTTATAATAGAACTTTCAATTTGAATTGTCTTTTTTATAATATGGTTTAAAATTTTGTCAGATTGTACTTTAAAAAACTATTGACTTTAAAAACTTAACTTTAATATTCATCAACCTGTCTTAGAAGTGATTCTGTTAATAATGCAAAGCTAATATATAAAATTTTTTAATTTTTATATAAAATAAAGTGACTCTATAATAAAAATCATTAGTTTTTTGACTTAAAGTTTCAGTAGTTATTAATTAAAATAATTAACTTGTTTTACACTATATTGGGCAATCAAACTTGATCTGCTTTAATGGATCTCTGAAATTGGAAATCACATTTTTAAATATTTTTTTTAGTTTAATGCTTTATTAAATGATATGTATTTAATCTAATTAACAATAAACTTTTTAATGATAAGTCTATTTTTATTGCATTTTATCTTTATGCACTTCTTTTTCTTATTTTTTTTACTTATTCTCTTTTTTTTTGTTTTAATTTTTGCTGTCATTTGATTTTTTTCTGGGTTGTTAACACTTTTTTCCATTTTGTCTTTTCAACTTTCCTTTCTGTTTCTTTATTTGTCTTTTTCAACTTCTGCTAACTTTCATTATTAGTAAGAAGTTGTACAAATAGAAGCATCTTTCTTTTTTTAGAGAAGGGACCAGACTCTTGTTGGTTTACTGAGAAAGTATCTAAAGATCCAGCTTGCAGAACATAAGAGATGTACTTGAAAACTGAATATAAAGAACTTGTTCTAAGACTTTTATAGGTTTCTAATTCCTCTTGGGTTGCTGTAAGTTAAACTTTTAGTAATTTAATTTCATTTATAAGCATCTTATTTTCTGATATTAACTAAATAAAATTTATGCTGGTATAATGAGAATGATTTAGTTTAGTAGTTGATTGTAGAGAAGACATAACCAGTTTTGAAGGCTGGCTAGAAGAAGGTACAATATCAAATCATTTTGTTGCTAGTAAGAGGTTTAAATGATCAGAGCTAATAATCTTAAAGTTAAATAGCCATATTCCTATAGCTTTAAAAGTATTACAAATAGCAGATAGCATATAAGCCTTAATAAAAACTGATCTAAAAAGTTTTGCGAAGATGTATTTTGTTACTACTTTGCTAGTAGTATTGTAATATTTATCATACTGTTTTCCAAATTCCTTTTTCAATTTTGCAAAAGGAATTTCAGACAGTTGTAAAATATAAGTCATGTGTAATAGAAGTATATAAAAAAGTATTCTATTTTGATAACAAAAAATCAATACATGTATAGCTAATATAGCTCTTATGACCATCAAGCATTAGTAAAACTGATTAAATTGGAGGGATTGAGTTAGTGAAATGGCTAAAGTACATTTGGAAAAGGTTTTTATACATATACCAGTATCTATAAAACTTATTACTGCTCCAGAAGATGCACCTTGTAGCAAACCAAAAATTGTATAAACACTCTTATAATAAAAATAGTAAATGTTTTTTGTAATATAATTAAAAATAAAGTATTCAGACTTTAATCATCACAAGTTTTAAACTGTTTTTTTTTTTTTTTTTTATCATACTAACTTTATAAATAACTAAAAATAAAATATATAAGCTGATAGCCGAGATTGTTGATGCAACTGAAATATGCTCATGAGAGTTATCATATACAACTTTATGAACCTAATGTGAGTTCTTTTTTGCAATAACTTTTTCTTGCTTAGATACAAAAATGAACCTAGTTTTATCTATATTTCAAATTTGTGTTGCTGTAAGTAAATTTTTATTAATTATTTGTTCAAGTTTATTAAATAGTCTTTAATGATTATTGATTGGCTCTTTGTGCACAAGCTTTAAATAATTCTTAAGAGATACAAAATGATAATTCAGAATGTTTTCTCATGAAACAAGTTTACTAGTATCAACCTGGCCCTTTATCTCTAAATAGATATAGTTGTTTATTGTAGTAAATTATTTTTATTATGCAATAGTTTACTTCAGACTTAGTTAAACCAAATCCAAGCTGTTGCATGTTTATGCAATATCCAACAATATCAGGAAAGTTATATATATAGATATATATCGATTACTAACCAACCAGATATATAGCAATGTAATCACCTCTGCCGAGTTTCATCGATTTCGATTATAATCGCTATATAGCTAATTAATATACATATTGATTTATATCATTTTTGATATTAATTAATATATAGCTAAAATAAGCAGTTAATGTCGAATTAAAATTATATCATATCGATTAAATAAATGCACTATTGTATATATTATATACTATATGTTGAATTTATTTTAGAATCCAAACTA